TTTTTTTTTTTTTTTTTTGGTGGGGGTGGGGAGGATTTGTTAAATCGGTCTTTCCTCTCTCTAATTGCTGCTAAACTCCTGGGGCCTGTAGATCTACAAGGCATGGAAGGGAGAGGATCAAGGTGACGAAGGCTATTTAATTTATCAAGCCAGGAACACTGGACTGCCTTTTAATGACCTGAGCCAAAATTTGTGCATTTAGAAAACAAAGACTGAGTCCCAGAGAAAGGAAGAAGCTTTTGGCTGAGGGCTCAATCCTGCAAAGTGCTGAGAACCCCCCAAGAGGTGCTCAGCACCTGCTACTCCATCTCCAGGAGATGGCAACTCTGTGTGAAGCTGATGTTCATGAGTATCCATGGGTGGCATGTGACAGTCACTGTGTCCATAAGCATCAAGGAATTGCTAGTGTATGTGATACCGTTGCATGATGGCATTAACTGCTCAGTTATTCAGCGAGAGCCAAAGTAAATGACCACCAAAACCCAGTCGCCTTGTACAGGCAGCTCCTCACGCAGGTACGTGGGGCACTTTTATGATTTTGTCACCATTGAAGGACTTGCTCCTTCTCCCCACTATCTTTTAGATGATATTTTACCCCTAACTAAACTACAGGACTAATAAAATCCTACTAGATAGAGAAACCTTGGGAACAATGTAAGTCCTGGAGTGCCTGCTGGGGAGGTTTCACCACACAGTGGCAACATCTAGGATATAAACTCTTGTGTTTCTGGGTATAAGCCAGGTCTTAACTGCCTGGGCTCAAGAAGGAATTCTCCCCATGGAGTCCCTTGCATCTTCTCCTGTAGTAGTTCTGGCTGCTGCTGAGATGGGATATGGGACGAGAGGGATCACTGAACTCGCCCAGAAAAAACAGTTCTTTACCTGATAAAAGAATGTGCTCCCTCCCAGATCTAAAACTATCTGCCCGTGAGCAAAGTCTTCTGACCCACTGATTGACTGGGACAAAGGCTTCGCTCACACGAGCCTCTTTGACATTTGCCTATTTTAACAGTCCTTAGTTTTTTTTCTGTCCATGTCTTTGCAGTGTATTGCCAGAATTTTGCCCCAAGCTTTAAGGAAAGTGAGATGAATGTTATTGCCGCGGATATGTGTACCAACGCCCGACGAGTGCGCAAGCGCTGGCTTCCGAAGATTAAATCCATGTTGCCCGAGGGGATGGAGATGTACCGCACGGTCATGGGCTCCACAACAAACAGCGTTCCCTTGGATCCAGAGTTCCAGTCTCCCACGGCTCAAGTCTTTGAGCAGCGAATCTATGCAGAGAGGAGGAGTGATTCAGGAACGATAGTAGCTTTGAGAACTAACACAGTCAATGTAGATCTAAGCAATGGATCCAACCAGTCATTTGAACAGAGTGAGGATGCGGAAGGAGCTGGCTCCGTCATACAGGAGGCAGCTGGCACAGATGCCATGGCATCAGAAACCCAAAGCACTCCACAACCTTTCGAACAAGGTTCTGGTTCCGCTAGCCGGCCAGAAACTCCCGTGAGAAGACAAGATGGTACTTATGGAGGGACTTTATAAAAAGAGAGAAAACGTTTTGTGACCTATAAGGGATCTGTAATACTAAAGCTGCTTGCATGCATTACTAATACAAAAAAATGTGATCAAGCCACTTACCTACTGAACTGCTACTGTTGCCTGAAAAAAATGTGATTTTTATTCTGCTTGTATTTAAAATTTATGAAGGAAATAATCGCATTCGTTATACTGTAAATGACTAGGTCTATGGTGACCTACTTAAAACTATTGGGCTTCTTTTTTTGATATTCCTGAGGTTAGTCTATAAGACTGTAGCTTTTTTTTATTTTTTTTTTCCTTAAAAGAAGGGGAGGAAAAAAGCTAGACATCTCCCCCCCCACCACCACCATATCATCACCCTATGCATTATTCAACTCAGAAGTAAAGCCATCATTAACTTCTTCCTCTAAAGAAAGTTTTACCGTCACTTAACAGGAAAGCAGGATACGTTAGGGTAGACGTAGTCTGACTGGAGTCATTTTTATTTGCGAGAATGGCTCTGGCAAGGTGGGGTGGGGGCGGGTATTGCTAAACACTTCAATGATCAGAGAACAGATCCTTAACATTAGTGTTGCTAAGCATGATGCTGTAACTAAGGTCTAAGGGCTCTTCAGTGTCTGTCCACTGATTTCTTTTTTTTTTTTATTTTTTTCAGTTGCAGGACGGAGTGGCCACATCTTTTATTTGATATGTGATATATGCAGGGAGGACTGCATGGTCATTGCAGATGAGACCCTGAGCTTACATTTTCCCTGCAGTGTGTAACTGTTGGGTTTGGGGTTTTTTTCTCCCAGAGCCATTCCTTTTCATTTCCCCCTCATTCTCCTGCTAGCACAAGCTGTAGCCTGATACTACCAGCTTCTTAACTGAACCATTTCCTATGACCTTATTTCTGATTGCCACCTCCTTTACCTTGTGGCAGTGACGAGAGCAAACAGTCCACCTCTTTCATAGGCTAATAGACTTTAATCATTGACTCAATCCAATCATTGAGTCAGATTGTAACCGTTTCAGAGAGAAACTTTAATGCACCATTGGGAGAACATATTTGTATATAATGTTGTTTTGTTTTTTTTCCTTAAAAAACTTAAAGGTGAAGGTCGTAGGGGGTGGAATGATAGTTGGAAGCAAAAACGTAACCGGCAGGTGGAGCAAGCCTCACTGCGATTCTGCTGTACTTAACAGTAATGGTTTGAATGAGCATGGCTTCCAGTGATGTACTTGTTAAATGCCTTGGATTGAGGGAGCAATAGGATTTAACTTCTAGGCAAGTACTTGATGGAAGGGGCATCCATCACATCCTCCCTCCGATTGAGGTGCTTGTAAGACCAGAAGATAACGATTTCCCCCCCACACACGCACACACGCACGCGTGTGCTACTGTAACTTAATTTTTTTAATTTAACATCCTGATTAAGGCACAGGTTTGAGGGGCCCTGCAGGAGTGAAAAATCTGTCATCACTTCCAGGAAACTCACTGTTGACTTGGGGTCCACAGAGTTGCACAGTACAGCACAGCTGCCAGTTTTCAGGAAACAAAAGTCATTCTCCTATATAACTGACAGCAGCCACCAAGCACTGTCCCTCTTAAAGAACAGCGAGTTTTGTGCCAAGCAGACTAGATCTGTTGGAAATAGTAACTCTCCTTCCAGCTGTGGAAGCCTGTTGAGGCATCTGCCTAAATCAGACCGGCCTAGGCTGAAACACCTCAATAGCTCTGTAGTCTAGACCAGTCTCCTATAGTCTGCTCTTAATTTTTAACAGTTGAAAGTGTAATAGAAGAGAAAAACACCAGATTTATATTTATTGCTTTTTGGCTTTCTCCTTCTTCCATGAAGTACTTTGCCTTCCAACATGCCTTCATGGAAAAGGGAGGGGTGAAATATTTGTTCTTTTGACGTCCTTCGCGGTGCATTTGGTGACACTTTGCCTTCTCGGTTCCGTGCCTATCGAGACACTGAGGCACGCATTATTATTATGCAATAACACACACTGTGTCGTGTCCGACTGTTAGAGCCATGCGTTCAGTGAAGGGGTGGCTGGTACGTGTGCAGATAGATGTGCAAGTCGTAGCGAAAGTTTGTCCAGCTGAGTGGGACGTGTGCGCTCACACTCTCTGCGTGTCGACTTCTCGTGAGGGCTTTCATTTTGGAAACCTTAGTTCAGGAATTCCCCAAAGTGACAGTAAACCTTTCCTAACGGTAGCAATGCTACCCCAGGACTTCCGGGGACGTATTGGGTACAAAGCATGGCACGCTGTTCACAGGTCACGCTTCTCCATTATCGTGCTTCTTCCTTAAGTCCCATTATTCAGTTTGTACTACTTGCAGAGGTGTGAGAGGTTTGCAGGGTTTTGCTGGTGGGAGTCAGGGGCTCTGCGCGTGCTGTGAGCCAACACAAAGACAATGGTGTACGGGGAAAAAAGGGAAATACCAGGTGCTCGCTGGTATGAAGCAGATGCTTGGTAGTGTCGAGCTTGGAATGCCTTTAAGTTTCGGGGAAAGTGATGTGAAAGCCAAATACGGCTGGTTTTGGTTTTGGTTGGTTTGTTTTACTGTGACTAAAATGCCTATTTTAAATTATCACTTACAATTTTCTTATGAAGATGAAGTTTTGAAACTATGAACAAGTGCAAAGTGCACAGTTAGTCACTCGCTAGTGATACTGGTGACTATTTATTTTGGGGTGGGGTTTTTTTTTTTGTTTCTTGGGTTTTTTTGGTTACTGTGTTCACGGACAGTGCTTTGCTCAGGGTTTTGCTCCCCTCTTGGTCTTCAAGGAGTATAAGGGTGACCCAGCCTTTGGCCATTTGTTGAGGGTTTTTCATTGTTGTGGCTGTGGTTTCTTCTAGACGTGAAGCTGTGATTGCATCTAAATAGCAAAGCTCTCCAACACTGAGTGTGTTCCAGCCTCCTTCTCTGTTTGCTGTGAGTAAAATACACTGCTTGGGTTATTTCTGCCTTCCATCTTGCATAGCTCTGAGCTCTGCATGGATTGAACCAGGCCAGATAGCAGAGTTGGGTAGTCTGTCCTCCCCGCTCACCTGGATCGATGCCCTGTACACCTATGCAAAGTTGTGGGGCTGGGGGGGGCAGGGTGGGTGAAGAGCTGCATCCACAGGGCCGATGATATTCTTCATGTGCATTTGCGTTTTGAAGCGATGGGCTGTATTTGCACTTTGCCCATTTCTTGTGAATGAAACTTTTCTCTCGCTGTTTGTAGTGTCCATTCTTGACTAACCGAGTGCCCAGAGCTTGCCCCGTGTTCTGTTTGCGTGGCTTGTCCGCGTGGCTGGCAGAATACCACGGGGCATACGCACTTTCTGAGCTTCATAGTAGATGGGTGCTTGGGTACCACGTGCCAGGATATGGCCCTAAGAGTATATCTTACTAAAGGAACTATAGGGGACCATAGAGCTAGGCATGCATTGGGCTGCCTTTTCTTTTCCTTTTTTTTGTTCCAAAGAGTTTGAGTGGTCCAGTTCTTTAGCCGTATAACCATAACACCCAGGTAAATGTCTACATGGAAATTACATCTCAGTTAGACAGACCAAACCCTCTGGTGAGCGAGGGCTCACTGGGTCAGCGCCGTTCCTGAGGAACAGCTGCATTTGCCGCACATCCTCCGGCGACTTGGCTAAGTCCAAGACTGAAGGAGCTAGGGCATGGGGGAGACGAGACCTCAGTCTCTGCTTTATTAGACCTGCCCCTGGTGAATTCAGTCTTTGGAGTCCGGATGGCGTTGGGAACGCTGAGACCACCTCTCTCACTCTTTGATTTTATATTAATACAAAGCAAAAGAGAATGCTGCCTCCTTTTTTGTGGCATTTCTTCATGTTTGGTAAGTTTACTGAACCCTCAAATTGAGACTCACTGTTGGCTAAAGCTGCTCTGGACCAATCCTACCTAGAAAACAAATGCACCGAATGCCTGAACGGGGAGACCCTAGACTGAATTAGCAGCAGAAGTACTTGAATGATTTAGAATGGCTTAGAACAGAGAATATGAAGAGAGTCAAGTTGCACAGTGAAAATATATATATTTTTATACCTAGCACAACTTCCTGTATATTTTTTTTTTGTTTTGTTTTTTTTTCTTTTGGGGTTCTACTTTGGTTTCGTTTTCTGTTTTGGTTTAGGAAGGAAAACTTTTAAAATGTGAAGGGCGTAGGGTTTTTTTTCCTTATCTGGTAGATGAGGGCAAGCATTTTGCACTAATGTTTCCTGTGTGTGGAGGATTAATGATATGTTTGAAAATGTATATGGATAATGATTGTATTCTTCAGAAAAAAAAGTAATCCCTTTAAAATACTGAATGTAAAGTGAAAACAGAGCAGTCCATTGATTGTACGGGGCTTTCCTGAGTGCCTTAGAATTTTTTGATCATTTTTTCCAAGGAAACTAGATTAAGGAGATCAGACCATAACCAACTCCTCCCTCCTCTTTGTTTACAACACTATTTTAAATTATAGAACTTGGGGCTGCTTTATAATGTGAATAGCAAACTGCATTCATCTGGTAGTATAAAATCAAAGCATCAGTATTTATGGTATGTCTGCACCTTTATTCTTATGCTTGACTATTAGCAATATTACATGTATATTGTATATCTAAAGTTATATCAAGCACCTTTTAAAAAAAACTGAATGGAGTTTAAGCTTACAAGTTACATGCAGTTGCCATATAGTGTAGAACCCAAACCCTCTCCTCCTCCTTGTTAGCTTGAAATTAAGAGCAATGTCCTGATTACGGTTGCCTGGTAGAAGGGTAGCATGACCTTCTGCTGAATCTCTGTCCACCCTGTGTTAATAATGAACAATTCCACACGTGGCTAAGGTTTGCGGAAAGCATCTGAACGCTGCGCGGTCGGGTTTGGCTGGCCACGGGCACCTTCTGACCAAGGGGATGAAAGGTGCCCATGTTATGGAAAGATGCTGCAGTCTTTCTAGGCCTGATTCCTTCCTTCTTCACATCCACTCGCTAGTAACTGCACAGAAGTCAGTGGAGTGACCCTGATGTAAGTCCAGTGGGAGTAAGAAGGAAGAGGAGAAGCCTGGGGAAAAACTCAAGAAGAAAGATGCGTCCATTGTGCCACCGGCTTGCTTTAATATTGCCTTAGCTGATGTAATCTCTCCGCAGCCACTCCGTAAGGGGCTAAAGTTCTCTTTGGCTCAGCCACGTGCTGTCAGGTAGGCCTGCATGTTTTATTTCCCTCTTGATCATCCTCGTGCATGCTGCAACACTTTAATCGGGAGAGAGAAACAAAAGGTTAAACTTAACTTGCCACAACCTTTTTTTTTTTTTCTTTTCTTTTTTTTTTCTTTTATTAGCAGCACAAAACTGGAATTGTTCCCTATTTAACACATGTTTAAAGGACCATAGCATTCTAGACATGGTATTCGGCAAAGGACTGATGCATTTCCTCAGTCATTTTATTGCTAAGGTTTTGTTCAGATTGCTTATTTTTATGGAAATAACTTGCTGCAAGTGGAGAAGGGTGTATGGCCCATTAAACAACTGAAAACTAAGAGACAACCCCTGTTTGCCTCTGCCGGCAGTAAATTCTAAACACAAAATTGAGAGTTCATAGCTGTCTTGGGCTTCAACTACTGTTTCAAAGTGTTCCTGCTGTATGAATTTGTCATTATGTCAGTGAGCAAGCTCCACACGTGCATATTACCATGCCCAAGATATTCAGGGCTTGCTATGAGATGGTTCAAAAATGAGGGTTTAAGAAAAAAAACCAAAATAACCCAGTAAATTAAAAAAAAAAAAAAAAAAAAAA